GTCTATCTGTCTATCTGGTTGATTAACTTCATTTTCTTAAAAGCAACATATTTTGCTATCGCTTGTAATGAACTTTTGCATTTTCTGTAATTAAACTTCTTTTTCTCTTTGTGGCATCTGCATAAAAAATTGAAATTTTTCAATTCAACACCAACACCAACAGCAATGAAACGAAACTTTTAAACTTGCTTGGAATGTCAGCAAAAAGGCAAAACAAATTGATGTTGCGTTTCGTTTCGTTTCGTTTATATATCAAAATGATTTGCAAATTGCAAAAAAAGCAAAATTCTTGTTTTGAAAAACATTATATGATTACAAGTATTACACCTTAACCGAAATGACCAATCCCAGTTTTTTTTTTTTATTTTTTCTCTCGCTCTCTCTCTTATTTAAGGCGGTTTTTCTATTATTCTATTGCTTAGAAACTTGCATCGCTCGGTAAATTATTTTTATTTTTATTTTTAAAGATAATTTATGATTTATGATTAAAGCCGATAGTTTAAGTCATCATTTATTCAGAGTAAAATAAAAGGAAACATTATAAGACGGATCTTTAATAAAAATCAGTTTTATTAAGTTTCACAAATTACTTCTAATCGCTTAAGAAACGTTTCTTCTCTTCTTCACCCGATTATAATCCTAAAAACTTATTGTACAACGTTTTCGGATTGCAAGAACTTCTGGTTATAAACATTTTTAATTGCAATCATAACCAGTCTTCAGTTAATCAGTCATACGCTTACTTGTGTAAGCATGCATTCAAATAATCAGTAAAAAAAGTTTTTTAATAAACAAACTGTCAGCTAATGTGAAGTTACGCAAACCTCATAACTATCAATAATAAGCTCTTGAAATGTCATGCACCTAAATGTTAAAAAGCGTTAAAAACTATTTCAATTGAGTTTCAAACTAAAGACTTAAGCAACAAACTTCATCAACTGCATATACTACAAAACAAACTGACACTGATATCAAAGTCAAATATTAAGTAAATACTTTTAAGGATATTTGTTTGATAAAATTGTAGTTTGAAATTTTCGATTGTTTTTTTTTTTTTGTTTTTGTTAATCAAAAATATTTACATAAGTTAAAATACTAAAAGAGTAACAAGAAAAAATAAAATTATTGAATGAAATGAAAATTTGTAGAAAGAGGATCGGGAAAAATCGATTGACTGATTGATTGATTGGTAGTGGGTTGCCTTCATTTATTATTGCCGAAAAAGAAAAAAAATATATTCACTTTTTGCTACGTCGACGATTTACACTAATCCTCTAACTTTGCTGTAACTGCGTAGTGATTGAGACCCTTTTTCCAGTCAACCTTTGCTTGGCTTCAGCACAAAATTATCCGAAATTTTAAGCCGTTATCTGTTAAAAAGTGCAGCTTAGCAGCTTTTATGGGCGAACTATCTATATTTCTAAGACCTTGCACTAACTGCGTACTGGCTTCAAGGTAGCTTGGCATGGCTTCAGTAAGTACTTACACCAGGTTTTTAAATCATTTGCATTTTGCGAGCGGACCACGTTTATTTTTCAAACTGATATGTGGACGTAGTCCAAAAATGAAAGAGTTACGCTTACATTTTTTATCTGAAGCATTGCTAAGATCCAAAGGCTTAAGGGCGGCTATAGTCTACTAAACCAATTTCTAATTAAGGATCTAAGTGTATCTTAAAATAGATGAAAATGTACACAACGTTTCGGTTCTTCTGTTCGACTATTGCGATTTTGAAGAGTCTCATGTAATAGGTCTCATCACGGCCAGACGGACGGAGTGGCGGATATGATAACATTAAATCAATGGTTTGATGCGAAACGCGTTACGAAGACGTTCCTCGTTACTAGTGCTATGCAAAACCAACAGTACATTTTGGACTTATCAACTAATTGATGCTTGCTCTATCTTTCTGCTAATATTGTATTTAATGATCAAGGTTTGCCTATGGGATTAGTTCTCAAGCTCCCTCACGTTTGCGATGCACTTTTAGTTTGATGCATACCGCCTAGGCGTGCATCTCTAGTCTAAGCCAGTAATTCGGGCTTTGTCTTCTTTTTCTTTTTTAATAATAATACTTTTTTTTATTTACATAAAAAAAAGGTTACAATGTCATCATAGTTAAGTCTACGCATATAGGTACCTTAATTTAACTAAAATTTTTTATATATATATATATACATGAAATAAATAGAATAAATATAATTACGTTTACGAATTCAATTTTAGGTTGAAATATACGTTCCGTCACCGCCGGATGAGTTTCATAAACATTCATTTTCTTTTTTTTTAGCCGCCCCTCGACAATGGCCATAACTACATTCATACACATTAAATAGATTGCCAACTTTTTATATGAAATGATCAAGAGAATTACTTGAAAGCGTAAGCTTAAGGATAGTAAAATATCGTCTATATATTTTTCCCGAGAAATCTGATAAAAAAAATAATTCTTTCTTTTCCATCTCTAGTGCGAAAATGTGTTTTTTCAGAAAAAGTCGAGATTAAACCGAGATAGTTAGTTATTCTCCGAGTTTTTATTTTTAATTCGAAATAAGATTAAGTTGCTATACACAACATATTAATGCATGTTTACACCAGTGATGGATTAGCTGCTTGTAATTGAAATGCATATTTTTACATACATAAGCTATTTACCCTATTTACTCTAGAACATAATTACAAGGTGAGTCTTTCTTGCTTTACCAGTTATTTCTTAGACCCAAACCCATACAAGATTTCTGGATTATTCCATATTGCATTTTCAAACAAAGTTGTTTTTACCTTACTTTTACTTACTATTAACAGTTAACACTAAAAAAGCATTTGTTCAATTAGTGATGCGATAAAAATTAATCTTCTTCACAAAATCGATATTATTATACAACGATGCTTGTGCAGAACTTGTGTAAACAAATAAATTTTTTTCCGAACTTCTAAAGGTTTTTTTCTTTATGTCAATCCCGAAATCAAACAAATAAGAAAATTGTATTCGTCTACGAACGAATCTTTTATACTCATCAACGTTATTCTGAAAAAGGGTCAAAATAAAGAGAAAACTAAATTTCCATTTGGCTCTAATCTCAATGACAATCTGCAAAATTTAAAATCGATCGCTGCATTTTTGCGACGATGACAATGTTTACTAAGGACATTACAGCAACAGACCAGCAGACAAACAGACATGCTTAAGTCAGTTTAGAATTTGACGCTGGTCAAGAATGTATGAGCCGCTTATTTTGAGAGCGGCCTAAGTCCGTTTTCCAAAAAAATCACGATTGCTACTGCAATGTTCACATTTCCAAGTTATCTTCTCCTTGTAAAGCGAATTGCAGCTAAAGTATTTAAAATTACTAAGATTTCATATGACGAAAATTTTCTAGTTCATGAAATGATAAAATATTTATTTTGGAAGCGACGTTTTACGTTTTTTTGCCACTACGTCGTGTTGACGCTTATACACCTGGCAACACTCATCGGATTGTCTCAAATAGACATGTGATGAAAAGGTAGCATTATAGCTTACATTTTTTGGTGCAGATAGTTTTCTAATTCATCGCTTGTATAAAAGGTTATGTCGGTTTGAAAATGAGTAGTGATATATCTGACGAAAAAAAAAAATTGCTGAAGTGTACGGTGAGAATGCGATGACTGAACGAAGGACCCAAAAATTGTTTGCTCGACGCCCTTCCGCAAATTTCCATGTCAAAGATGCAGCTCGCTCTGGTCGGCCAGTCATTGGAAAAGTCGATGAAATTTCGCAACTGGGGTAGCAAGACCGGCACCCAAGCTGTTAAGAAATAGCAAAGGCACTAAACATCAACCATATGACATTTTGGAATCATTTGAAAAGAGGAAGAAACTCAAAAATGTAACAGAAGTCTTTCTTTATGACCCGATATTTAATATATATTTGTGGAGCACAAATTCAAGTTTCTTACCAAAAATGAATTGCGATCGCTTACGTCTTTGCTACGGAATAGTTTTATTATTTTCAGTATTTTGACAAGCAAGGATTTAAGAACATCGCAATAATATTAATTTTTTTAAATGATGTTAAATAAGGTAAGTGGATTGATGGTTTATATACCGCTAGCAGCTCAGAAACATTATATTACTAGGTTATCAGTTACCAATATTTTTAAATTTATTAATTTAAATGTCCTGATGAATGGACTTAAACCACTTTCAAAATAAACAGCTCGCAGATGCTTTATGAAATGCGTGAAGCTACCTTTTGGTAGCCTACTGCAAGCATTTCTTCGGTGATGAGTGTAAATATAAATGGCTTGTGTATGATACGTTATGTTTTCATGTTGTTTAGCTGGTTTGGATGTTATTGGGCCTGTTAAAGATAAAAAAAATACATTTGAACTGCGTGTAAAAACAAGCGATGACTCCCATGATTGTCATGGAAGACTGAGAGGTACGTCGCGGTATGATTCCTTACAAAAGCAAGTATCAAGATTAATATTAATTGCTATATTATGTTTGCACTGCAAGCATTTCTTTCTAATGCATTTCTATATATAATAAATAAATAATTTATAATATTCTTTATTTATTTACGAATAATTGCAATTAATAATTATTTCTATTGTATTTCACAATTCTAAATAATCATTAACCAAATGCATTGAGTCTCATAAATTTTATATTAACATTTTGCGGTTCTTTTATTGATTTCGCAAGCACATAAATATACGTAAGAGTATAGGTGAGCAGATGACCCTCCTACGCTAAGCAGAAGAGTCTAAAAAACAAAAAAGAAGAAAAACAAAAAAAAAAAAAATAATAATTGATAAAATATTAATAAAAACAAGTGTTATTTTCCAATGTAATCATAGTGCACAGAGCGTTTAAAAAATTTAATACAAAATTTTAATGAACATTAATAGCATGTGAATAAAACAACAGGTAACGATGGAATGTTTAAGTGATACAATTAAATTTTGTTAAAGTTGAGGATAATAATAAATATATATGTGTACATATATTAATAATAAAGTTCAAGTGAATATTAAAACGAAAATCATTTTTTTTTCTTTTAATATAATTTTTAAATAATTCTTTTCTATTGCTGGCGAGGGCTGTGGCTGTTGCCTTTGCCGCAGTTAATGCTTCAGCTGTTGCTGCTGCTGCTGCTGCTGCTGCTGCAACTTTTATCTTTACATATACATATATAATAGTATTGGGTGATGTCAGTGTTGGTAAATTATTGGATTGACTATGCTTTGATGTGTACAAGTGTTTGTCTGTACACAAAGTAATAATTTATACAAATATTATGTGTGTCTTCATCGCAATTTGCTGGTTTTTCTTCTTACAAGCGTTCAGTATAAATATCCCTGCTGATAGGCTATAACATCACAGTTTTCTAAATTACTTTATACGACCGTGTCGCAGTAATTGTCCAAGTAAACGACCTAAGGATATTCTAAAGAATTGTTTACTATATTGCTAAACATGGAAAACTTTGTAAGTGTTGTGTTGTAATAAAGATATTCAATGAACAATAAATGTATCGATTGGAAAAAAAAAAAATAATAATAAATAAATAAAAGGATTGATTCAGTGCTGAAACATAAATTACTAATGTCTTGTTATGTGATTTCGATCTACAAATTGTTACAATATCTCAATAATAGAATAAAAGACATTTCAGTGGGGAAATGTGACTTAAACGAATATAGATGAGAAGCCTAGGATCTGACGATTATTTACTATTTTTTGAAGGTTAACCAATACCGTTTACCCCGGGACAGAATAGCAAAGATGCGGATATATGCTATGTTACATAAAGGAAATAATTTGGCATTTTTCCGTTCTGAGTGACAGCATCATTGATCGTTTAAAAAGTATTTATTCCGCTCGTAAATACATTTGCGTTTTCCTTTCTTCCTGTCCGAATGTATGACTTACATTCCCAATTTTAATTGCTTTTATAGTAATTAATAAAAAAAAGGACTATGAAAAATATGCGCTGCTTCCTGACATAAGTCGCTTTCCTTGTTCGAATAAATGATTTACAGCTATAATACTACTCAATAACAATGATTTTTTTTTAGGAAATTGGAAAAGAATTGTGATTATTTTATGAAAAAATGCAAACAGATTGGCTAGTAGTATTACTTATGTCCATGAATATAGTCTACATTAAATTTATGCACTCTATTAGTCACTCTCTCCCAAAAAAGAAAAAGAACTGTATCACACGTTTCCTTCGTTTGCAAATACGTTCTATGGTTTAGTTTTTTCCTGTCCGGATATATGATTTGCATTTAAACTTTTAAACTTTGTTGCAAAAAAGATGAGATTCCAGGAAATATTCGCACCTTTCGTTGATAAAGGAATGTCTGTGTTCATCGGTCCCTCATAAATCTGAAAAACTATTGAACAGATTGAACAATCGTTACTAAAGGGGGAATTGAAATCAAACGCTAAAGTACATCATCCTAGCTTAGCAGTGACTTTTGCTGCCCTCATTCATTTCAAAAATTATTTATGCCATTAAAGTCAGTGAGGCCAATTTGGGATAATAGTCCAACTACAACCAGCCAATACTACTTGTAACAACTTCCACTGATGTCAAATGCCCGCAAAACTATCTAAATCTTTTTAACTATGAATTCTTTCTCTTTTCAACTATGAATCGCTCACGGCCTTTACTTTGAGCCAAAGGGGAGAAGAGAATCAATTTTTCACAAATATTTCCTTAGCCTTTCTAATCTTTTCCTAAGCATAAAGAGTACGTTAACAGAAAGAGGTTTGCCGAAAAGAACAAGTTACATCGTATTCTTCTTTAAAGTCTCGGTTGTAATTGTTACTTTCTAGCGCATTCTTACGATTAAGCATTTATTTGATTTCGCCTTAAAATTTTATGTAAAAGCTTAGAAAGTTTGTCATTAATTCCAAAGAATAACTTACACGTGTCATTAAAATGTATAGAGAAAGTCACTTATGGAGAAAAGCTTTATATTAACTTACCCTCCAATTGATCAATTCACATATTGATTCGGTTAAAATGTATTACAGGTGTGTATTGCTTTAATTGCAATGCTTTCACTGGCGGCCGCAGTACCACAACGACTCCAACGGCCTGTTGTTGTTAGTCCAGGCGATCAAATACCAATACTCAGACAAGAGCAAGAAGTTAATTTTGATGGCTCTTACAAGTATTCTTATGAAACTGGAAATGGCATAACGGCGGAAGAGCAAGGTTATCTGAAAAATCCAGGCTCGCAAGCAGAAGCTCAGGTATATAAATGAAAACGCACATAGCGAGATGAGGAAAACAGATTCAACTTAAGAAGTGTCCGGGAGAGGAAATTAAAACTCTCTTACAAATCGTTTACTTGATCAATTTCTAAAATTATGGTGGATTTGTTTAAAGAAGAATTACAACAATTTTTAAACTTGATCGGTATCGGTATGCAACTAAAATTGTAGCCTTAGTTTACCATTGCGATGGTTTCACTTTTTGCTTGAAAGCAAGCAAATACATTTCGTTTTTCATCTAAGAAATATTAAGAAGATTTAACCTCGTAAACAAGCAAATGCTCTACCATTGCTACAAAACTAAATGAAGGGTAAATAAGAAGTCTTTGCTAAATCTTCTATATATATATCTAGATAAAACTTTTTTCTCAACTGCTATAATGAACTTTATGTTCTCTTCCATATAAAATGATGATGAAGTCATCTAAATATCATTAGGAAATACCGAAAAATTTCCAGAAGTGTTTTATGCTTAGCCACTTGTAGTTGTTTGCATATATAACAAAATGAAAAAACAAAATGCCGTTAACACCCATAATTGTTGTTAAATGGCAACCGTTAGCTGAACCGTATCAGGAGAGTTCGCGGTTAAGAAGCTTAGGGCAAAATGCAAACAACTACAAATTGATTACAATAAATTTTAATTCAACTGACATTTTGTTATAATTGTAAATAGATTTTACAAAAATAATTCGAAACCAAGTAAGCTAAAAAGTATTAAGCCTCATAATAGAAATAATTTCAAATAGTCCTATCACGAATAATAAATAAAATAAATGAACTAAATATAAGGAAATTTTAAACTATCAAAAGGGCTCAATATATTTTAGACTTCGGAATACCTTTAAATTAAGTTGTAACAAGAAATACCGAAAATTGAAATCAAAGGAAAGCTTTGCAAATGCAATGAAGATATAAATAATAAGAGTGTGGATGATGCATTTAACAGATAAAAAATACTTAAAAAGTCTTGACATTTCATTTCTTTTCAATTCGTGGACGATGACTGTAAGATTGTAAAACTTAAAGAAAAGTTCAATTATGTGGATCTCGTGTATTTTATAATATGTTTTCTTTTTTAACTGTTTAGGTGGCTGCTGGCTTCTTTGCCTACACTTCACCAGAAGGTATACCCATACGTCTTTCTTATAATGCCGATGAAGAAGGCTTCGTACCGCAAGGCGATCATTTGCCAACGCCGCCACCTATACCACCAGCCATACAAAAAGCTTTAGCTTATTTGGCAACTGCACCACCACAAGTAGATCAACCACGGCCTCAACCTTTCGGAAGAGGATAAATTTTGAAAAATTTCCAATTCAAAATAAGCAACAAAAGTTTTTATGTGATCTGAGATCTAATAACAATTACTGGGTCGTTTGCTGCCACTCTATGTCATGTTACACAATTATTGTATTTTGCTCGTATAACATTTTAAAATAAAATTAAAAAGTTTTACCAAAAATATTTCCATCATTCAATACAAATATCGGGAGCTTACAAAAAGACTTCCCTTTTCTTTTGTATTCATTCATTTACACAAGGCGCTTCAGTTACAATAATCCGTTAACAATAATGAAGAAAATATATAAGACAAACAATGTAATAATAATTAAATTAAAGCAAATAGAAACACAATAAACCAGGCACCACTTCCCATTAAGGAAGTGGTCGAAAAGGTCGTCCGATCCGAGCCATTTTCAAACGTAATCGTCCCTTGAACACGTTGGAGTACTTGATAATTGTGTGCTCAAGTTTGAGTATAAGAAAACAAACAGGACTGACGGACGTACATTAAGACAGACAGGCTTTGATCGATAAAGCTCGGTCCCATCGCAATTCCTTCTCGGTATTGCATAAATGCGCACAATATTAATATATCCTTGTAACATAATTAGCGTAGGATATAACGAAATCAAACCGAACAGATATTAAGAACCAGAAACTATCTGTATTATAAAACATATTCGTCCGTTCTTTCTTCCATTTTCAGTTTGCTTTCTAAGCGAAGTGTTTGTACAGTTGCAAAAGTTGATCAGTAATCTTAATATAATATATCGAAACGGAAGTCAATGGTGTAACATGTGGTTGTATATTGTATCAACGGTTACAAATACAATGTTGTTTGAGAAAAATTTGCTAATCTCACTGGTTAAAAAAAAAAAAAACCACTGAGATTGAAAAGATTTTAGAGGGAAGAAACTGCAAACAACTTCGGGGTCTCCCATTGCAAATCATAGGCCGAAGGAGACTAAAGTTAAGATAGCCTAAAGAATTGGCCCAGAGTTTATGATCTGCCCGTTCAGTAAGTAGGTTTCATCCGTACGGCTATTCAGCTATATAAGGGTAAAGACCGTGCATTTCGTTTAAGTGTAATCGTCTGTGGAAGGTCCGTGAGACACAATATTTAAACTCCCCCATATCTGCCGAACTAGCTAGTTCAGCAATGTCACGTACAGCCTAGGACTCTCTTTCAGTAGCACTTTAAAGAAGTCCTAAAAATACTCAAGTTCGCAGTTCCATAGTTAGACAGACTGTGAGGGTTTGCAAATAAGATGTTACCGTGGGTTTATGAGAAGACTTCGAGTAAGGGAAGAGAGAGGACGGTAAGAAATTCATTCCAAACTAAGATCCAGAAAGATTGATTGACAAAGTCATATTTACCGCACGTGAATGGGATTTCAGCAAACAGCAACTAGTAAAAACGCGGCAAAGGCGATGTTTTGCAGAAAACGGATTAAACGAAAACGCAATACTTCCAAGCAGCAAATGGCAACCAAACATTCATCGAATCGAGATTTTCGGATAAAATTTTCGGGTCTAATATTCTTTCCTCGGAAACATTTCCTTTTGTTCAATGTGGTTAATGCCTCACAATGTTGCTCCTGAGTTCTTCACTCTCGCCACTTACTCAAAGCCAAACCAAGGGAAAAATAAGAACTACAACCATCCCCAGTTATTTTTGAACAAAATAGTCGTTTTAAGAAGAGTCGAGACAAAACAAAAACATAAATAAAATGCAAATATAAACAATGAAAGCATAAACAGAATTGCTTTTGTTGTCTTTTTCTTTTTGCTTCAAATTTAAGTGGTTTCGTCCATGTCCCTGTCACGTGAATATGGTTGAGCTTTAAATAGAGTTGCCTTTCGAAATTCTTCGACAAATTCTTCTTCCAATCTCTTTCGATCGTCTTCTTCTTGTTTTTGTCTCTCTTCTTGTCTTCGGCGTAAGGCTTCATCATATTGTTTACGCTCTTGCAGACGTCTTTCCATACTCAAGTTGAACGGACACTGCTCTACCGCGACATCACTCTTCTCGGGGATAAATGGTTTGGTTTTTAATACTGTCGCTGGTCGCGATTGAAATTTTCGCAATTCGTCTTCTTCTCGCTTCAAGTTTTCCAATTTCTTTTTAAATTTCTCCTGCGCTTCTTGCGAATGTTTAAGCACTTTCGGTGTTAATGGTACGGTCACATAATGAATAACTACTTGCTCGTCCAATTTCTGATGACAAGTTTTGAAATTTGGCATAGGTTTTGCATGAAATTCCCGTTTTTTTTGCTCCTCTTCAGCTAGCCTGCTTTCTGCTTCTTCTCGCTTCTTTTTGTATTTTGCTAAGGCCTTATACGCTTGCGGTGTAGGAGGATTATTTTTCGGAATCGCACCCTTTGCAGATGTTATTACATCTTTTGCTGGCGTCCACTCTTGAACTAATCCTGACGAAGGTAATTTTATTAAAGTTTCATCAGTTGTTCCTTCAACATGATTTTCCTTATTTTCGTTCGCGAACATTGTAAATATTTTCGCTGCTAAAAGTAATTTGTTCTATTTATTTTATAAAATTTCTCATAAAACACAAAATGATAAGTTTTCAATTTGATTTGAAAATTGATTTTTCCTTTCACACTCTCTTATATTCGTCGTCGTGTTACTTCTCCTTTCTGTTACGTCACTTCTTTGATGTCTATACAGTTTTCTGACAAATCATTAATGTTTTGTCTAGAATAAAAAAACTTGAACTCGGCTCTCTTCCTCGGCGTTAACTGATGAATGCCAATTCTTTATTTTCGATAGTTTGTTCGCTTCGTCGGCGAATCATCTTAGATGAAGGGATTTCGCTGTCTAAGAGTAGAGTCGAAATGAAACGAGCAAGAAAATTATATTCGGTTGTGATCGAATCTTTTGCATGAGCCTAAAAAAAAAGAAAAAAAGAAAAGAATTACATTTTTATACTCTGCAACGTTGGATGGGCGCGGGGAATAAAAGTGGAAGTTGATATGATGCATGCATTGCGTATTATGAGTAACAAGCTAAAAATGCGGGAATTGGTCACAGTGTGGGCATGTTGTAGGAGTATTCTTTGAAAAGTTTGAGTCCTTTTCAAACTCTTTTGCCAATTGATAGGCGATATCCATATTTTTGCGAACGGGAGAATAGTTATCACAGATTCTACATAATTGACCAAGCGAACAAACGGCCAGACGACCCAACAGACGTACTTGGGTGCATTCGAAATTTGAAACTGACCAAAAATTCATACAGTTTATGGGGTTTTTGACGTTTGTTTCTGTGCCTAAAAAATGCACGTAAAAAGGAAATGAAATTTTGATACACTACAACATTGGATAGGCGTGGTCATTTCAATTTTTTGTATAGGTACTATAGCGTCGTCCATAAGATATGCGTTCAAATTTTTGTACACTTATCTGCTATCGTTCATAAATAATGAGTAAAAAATCAATTTTTCGTTCCTTCTGAAAAACATATGTAATCTCAATTTACGTGATTCTGTAGGCGTGGCCTTCGACCGACTTGGCCCATTTCAAATACCAATCTGCTCGCAAACACTCCCAAAGCTTTCGCTAAATTTCAGGATAGAAGTTTACAACAGATAAGGCAAATTACATTCAGAATTAGATGTTGATCAAGGTTATATACAAACTTCGTGGGGTTTTGCAAAAATTCTTCCTTCGGCGATGGGCAATAAAAAGTTGAAGGTATTATCTTTAGAAAGTGGGGATCTAGAAGGTGTGCGCATATGAAATCGGAATGTTCGCTTCGATGACCCTATCTGTCTATACAGTTTCTGCCGAACGGCGTTATTGGCGTCGTTTTCTTGCTGACATTTATCGAACATTTTCAACTAACAACGATACAAGTTTCATGCAAAATTTTCGTAACGCTTTGCACAATTGGTTATCACAACTGGCGATTATTAATTCCGTGATCCCCTTTAGAAACATCCATTTGATCCGTGACATTTTCGGGAAGGTGATGTTACAAAGCAAGTGTGCGCGTGTAGTGTAATAATCAAAAAAGTCCTTCCAAACCAGTAATGCTAATGTAGGAAAAGATCGAAACATCGCTTAAACATCCATCTCAACACCTCCGTAGAGCATTTGAGAGTCAATTTAATCAATGATAAAGTTCATAATAAAATTCCGCATGTCGAACATTTATGACGTCAGTTATGTGTAAATATTATAATATCAATTTTTCGAAAACGTGCTTTGATTTTATGAAAACAATAAAATTTCCCGCTCTTTTGGTGTTAAACCTCCCGGGATTTTGAAAGACTGCTCTTTTGACATCTCACTGTCTATGCACAAGAAAGAAGATACTCCAAATTACGTCTTCAGGAATCTAATAGCTGAGAAAACCCAAGTATTGGACAATACTGGTTGGAATATTTTGTACACAGACGGCTCAAAATCACCTGGTCTGCCTCCTGCTTGTGCGGTGGTAGATGCTACAGGACGGGTTCTTCTCAACCACATATTTCACGAAAGCACTTCAACTTTCATAACCGAAGCCAGAGCTATCCTTCACGCTGCCAACCTTGCCCATAAAAACAAACTCAAAAACGTCATTGTTACTGACAGTTTGTCTGTATTACAAGCTACCCGGAACTCTTCGACTTCGAGATGGAGCACCATCAACAAATTAAGGAATATAATTACTACACCCGACGGAAAAATTAAAATCTTATGGATACCAAGTCACATCGGTTTACTGGGAAATGAGCAGGCTGATCGAGCGGCAAAGTATGCTGCTTCTGCTCCTCTAATTATGGATAATGTCATGGAAAAGTTGGATCTTCAAAGATACATTGGAAGAAAAGTTAAAGAGAAAATTGCAGAGGGAAATTTACAATACCATCATCAACACTACTCTTGCATTAACCCTCAATTAACTCCACCTCTATATCCAACAAATGTTGAGAAAACCAAGATCCAAACATTTTCGAGAATTCGCCTTGGTCATACAATTGCAACTCACCAATGGATCCTGAAGAAGTCTTCTCCCCCAATCTGCTGTTGTGGACAAACTCTTACTATAAAGCACATTCTCTGCGACTGCCTCAACTTTTCCTTGGCTAGAAGTATTGCATTTGGAACGATTAACCCTTTGAACATTCTACAATCAGCTTCAGAACAGAATATCAATTCAATATTTTACTTTATTAATACTACTAAGCTTATTATCTAATATCCATTTATTTAAATTAGAGCCGATAGCCTGTGTTGCTAGTGCTCAATGTCATTTTTTTAGTCTAAGAATTCAATTCATTAGTCTAAAATTAAAATAATAATAATAATAGATTTATATTAACGATTAAATGTGTTAAACATTTACGGTTAATTTGTAATAGATACGTTTTTCTGATAAAAAATTCACTCATGCGTTGTAACACAAGGACTTTGTCTAATTTATTATTCAAAGACAACTTTGTTTCAAAATTATGCGATTTATTAATAAAAAAAAAAAAAAAACCATGAAAAATTAAGATTTTTTTCTTTTTCTTTTCTCCCTATTTCTTTACGCTTTTTTCTCTCTCTTACGCTTGCACTCGATAGTTTAATTCGTTAAAGAGAAAATTTACGCAAGCGTGTGAAGACAATTTCGAATTTAAATAGCAACAAAGACACCTACCATATCTGTTAACAAAACTCGTAAACGCTTTAACATAGTTTTGTTAAATATTTAAAATTAAGATATAGTTTGATTTGGAAGCGTACTCCGTCCATATTAAACAACGTAAAATATTTTTGTGAACATCTTATGAATCTACATGAAAATGCCTTTCAAGCAAACTAAACAAATTCAAATTCTGCCTATGGGAGCTATTTTCAGCAATTTTTTGAAAATTTCGTATATTAGCGAAAACTGCGTATGGAAGTACACCCGAATTTGAGACTTTCATCAGCCAAACTAGAAAATGTCACCTATATTCACCTATATCACGTAAATCTACATGAAAGTACTTGTCAAATGAGCAAAAAAAAATCGAACTTTTCTTTCGGGAACTATTTTTAACGATCTTTGAATTTTTAACGATGTTTGATGTTAACGAAAAATTGCATATGGGAGAACTAGCGTACTACAGTACAGTGCATTTTGTACTAAAATATACTACACTACAGTATTGTGTATACTATAAATAAAAAATATACTATACTACAAATATACTGTAAGTATACTATATACAGTATAGTGCATTTTGTACTAGAATATACTCTACTACAGTACAGTGTATTTTGTACTAAAATATATTGTACTACAGTATAGTGCATTTTGTACTAGAATATACTCTACTACGGTACGGTGTGCTTTGTACTAAAATATGTTGTACTACAGTACACCGTATTTTGTACTAAAATATATTGTACTACTGTACATTGCATTTTGTACTAAAATATATTGTACTACAGTATAGTGCATTTTGTACTAAAATATATTGTACTACAGTATGGTGCATATTGTACTAGAATATATTATACTGAAGTACAGTGTATTTTGTACTAAAATATATTGTACCACAGTACAGTGTATTTTGTACTAGAATATGTCGTACTACGGTATGGCGCATTTTGTACTAGAATATACTATACCACAGTACTGCGTATTTTGTACTAAAATATATTGTACTACAGTATAGTGCATTCTGTACTGGAATATACTCTACTACAGTACAGTGTATTTTGTACTAAAATATATTGTACTACAGTACAGTCTATTTTGTACTCGAATATGTTGTACAACAGTATAGTGCATTTTGTAATAGGATATACTCTACTACGGTACGGTGTACTTTGTACTAAAATATATTGTACTACAGTACATTGTATTTTGTACTAAAGTGTATAGTACTACGGCGTAGTTCATTTTGTACTGGAATATACTCTACTACAGTACAGTGCATTTCGTACTAAAATATATTGTACTACAGTATGGTGCATTTTGTACTAGAATATACTATACTGAAGTACAGTGTATTTTGTACTAAAATATATTGTACTACAGTATAGTGCATTCTGTACTGGAATATACTCTACTACAGTACAGTGTATTTTGTACTAAAATATATCGTACTACAGTACAGTGTATTTTGTACTAGAATATGTCGTACTACGGTATGGTGCATTTTGTACTAGAATACACTATATTACAGTACTGTGTATTTTGTACTAAAATATATTGTACTACAGTACAGTGTATTTTGTACTAGAATATGTTGTACTACAGTATAGTGTATTTTGTAATAGGATATATTGTAATACAGTGTAGTGTATTTTGCACCAAAATATATTGTAATATTGTACTAATATACCAAATTTCAGAAGATCGTTAAAAATAGTTCCCATAAGCAGAATTTGTTGAGTTTGTTTGAAAGATGTTTTCATATAGATATCCAGAAAAATATTTTTGGTTGTTTAATATGGACGGAGGAGGCTTTCAAATCAAACTATATCTTAATTTTAATTATCTAACAGAGATCTGTTAAGGCGTTA